TTTGTCATTTTTTTTCCAAGGAATTTTTCACCCTGTATCAGCAAGGAAGTAAACTACATGCTGTGCCTCATGCATCTCTCCTTTTTTTTTGGGAAAGGGTAGAATTTGCATTAAGCAAACATCTAAAACTCTTCTACAGAGTCTTTTCCAGTCAAGAAATCCAAAGGCCAGAAGTTCAGCCTGGTGCTTTTGGGTTATTCCAGAATTCACATGCTGTTTCCTTGCTTTTGGGAAAAGCAGCCTTGTGAAACTGCTGGCAAGTGCATCCATACAGCACCATCTGTGCAAGCTTGCCACAGAAATCCATATGCACATAGGTTAGGAAATTGCTGGGGTTTGTTTAGGATCATGCTATTCTTCACAAGCAAAAGACAAAATAACTTTCTTATTTAAAAAGATGAAAAATTATTTACTTTGTCACAGGGATTAATATATTCCTACATGCAGAGATGCTTCTGTAATTAGCATGGGCACATTTCCAGAGGAGAAGGCTCTCTCCCCCCTTCCTTTCCCAGGAAGCAATACAATTCTATCAAGTGTGATACTTCACAGGTATTGGAAGCTGTGACACATTTGTACCTTAGTGGAATTACAACGTGCAGTAGGCATACAAGCTGCTAGCTCCAGCATGTCTCTTCAGATCTAGTACTTCTGGCCCTAAAGGCAATGAAGGTTTTCAACTGGCTTGTTTTTGAGAGTACCTCATCTCTGAGAAGCTGGATGACACACTGAAGACTATTTGCTAGATAAGTCCAGTGTGTCAGAGAACAGAACCTGAACTTTAACTGGACTGGACTGCAATCCAACACACCTTTTCTGGTGTTTAACAATCGTCAACAAACATGTGACCTTACCTCTGATAGTTGGAGTGATTAAAGTAGATAAAAGACTTCCAGCATTAATGGACAAATAAAAGAGAGAGAAGAAGGTACTTCTTTGCTTTTCCTACAGTAAAAACAGGAAGATGTTTAGAAAGGCTTAGCCACAACCACCTTGATGTGCCTAGATCAAAAAATCAGTGCCATTGAAGACAATTCAAGACAAATAATTTACAAGCTCCTTCTTCAGCTCCTCAGGAAAAACCATGCATCTATTCAAACATGTATAATATGAGAGTACTATAATAGTCAAACATTAGTTAGAGAATCTGTATAACTGAAAATCTGTAAGACATTGTTACCTGATCATCTTCAAACTGATCTCCACCAAATGCTGACACACACGGTTTGATCCCACCAGTACCGAAGGCAATAAGGATCAAGCCAACCATGGACAGAGCACTGGAACAAAGGAGACAAGAAAAAAAACCCCATCATTTTGTGTTAGTTCTTACAGCATACATAATAGACTGGTTGAACGACAGTTGAAATTCAAGTAACATAAACTTAAGCTGCCCCATCATTCACTTGCCTGGGACAAAAAATATGTACAAGGCAACTCACACGTTCACTGCGATAGCATCGGGAGAGCCATCCTGGTTGTGATCTGTCAGGTCATTTATGGAGCCCACGGACAGCACTGTCTGCCCAATGGCATAGACAATGGACAGGTAGAGAATGGTCCTGTTGTCAAGAGAGGAGATACATTTTCTTAGATATGTTAACACACTAACACAAAGATAATTCCACAGCTAGTGCAGACTTTTTGCTTACTTTAAAGATTCTTGGTAATGAAAAAAACTAACATACAATGAGTTATGGACTGAACTTGTCAGAAGCCACTATAAAAATCAGGTCACATGCCACAGCCACGGTATTTCTATTCTTTTTATTATTATTATTCTATGTAGCCTTTATTTAATAAGGTAGCCTTTAATTAATAAAGGCATGATAAAAAATGGATTCTATAGGTATCACTAGGTCACAGTATCTTAAGTGGTTGCCTTTTTAATGACCAAATCAAGAATGCTATTTTCATATTTTTATATGCTGAAGTTCAAATAGACTACTCTGCAAAACTAAAATCTGCAATTTACACCGATTTAAGGGGCATTAAGCATTCCCTATGCTATTTTAGATTTTAGTTGCAGGACTACAAAAAAAAGGAAAAATCAAAAATCTGCTTCACACATGGCAATACCCCTGAAATACTGTTGTGCACAACAACTCTATAACACACCTTCTTTGCTGTAAGTGTACCAACAATTTACACTCAGATCTGAGTAAGAGCTGCACTCAAGTGTGCAGGCTGCAGGCTTTCAGCCTGACTACCTTGGCCAGGAGGAGCCTAGGGCAATAGTACTGCATAATTACCAAGTCTCCCACCCTGGCTTTAGGGTCCAGTCCTCTTTTCTATAAGTAAAAGCACGTTCCATTTGCAGTTTGTTGGACCCTAAGTACACAGCTGAAGTTTAATCCATGTTCGCTTGTGTCCTTGGGTGGGCCTCCATTCAATAGGCACAGACACAGGTCTCCAGGTTGGAGGAAAAGCAGGAGAAACACAATGCAATGATGTGAAATTATTAAAACCCCAGCTTTCAGGAGTGGTCCCAAATCAAGTGTAAGGTAGGAGAATGAAGGACAATGCTCAAAGACCTAGAACAGCTATTTGACATAGGCAAGAGATCCTCACAGCAAGCTTGGAGCAGCGCCCTGACACAAGAGGGAAATTGAGCAAGTTCCTCTCACTTTAAACAAGGTTTCTCTGACTTAAAATTGACCTCATCTGTAGTGTAGTAAAAACAAAATCTATAAAGTGGGGCAACATGGAGTCTGCTCTTTAGTGGTATTTAATAGACACAGCTTAATGGGGTGCGCTTTTTTATAGCACTGCCACAGAGTCACTTTATTTACCTAGCAACCCGGGGAAAAGTCTCCAATTAAAGTTGAAACTGAGCTGATCAGGAGTGAAACTTCTGGGTTTTATTTGTGAGGCTTATAAACCCACTGCAAAGACTTACATAATTGACATTGCATTGATGGCACACAATTAAAAAAATAACTCTGGTTTCTGTACTATTTTCTCCAAGAAATTCACACCCCACCATCTGTGAGCATGTCCCATCACACTTCTTGACAGGCATTGCACCAAGTACATGGATTGTGGAAGATTGGAGCCTCTCCTTTAAGGGTCATTAACAGTGCCTAGGTTATCTCCCCTTCCACTTGACATCATAGATTTTTTTAAAATTCTTGTTTAAGCTTTCCTCATGACA